TTGTGGAATCAACCCTACATTTTTATAATATAAATTCGCGTGGATGTAGGCCGACCCTACATTTTACTCTTTCTTGTGGAATCGACCCTACATTTTTTTTTTTTTACGTGGTGGTAGGCCGACTCTATGTGATAAACAATTGATAACCAAACGGTGGCTCTCCCTCTACATTCGACGGATAATGTGTAAAGGTATTTAATGTAATTTCTTAGCAATTTGTTTTTGTAATTCATCCAAAGCGATATATTATGAAATTAAATTAATCACTCAATAAGTATTAACATTAGATTGTTTCCTCGATATGGCCATGGTGGTCATCAGTGACTGGAGTGCCTCAAATGTTTAGAATAATAAAAATAAAACAAATGTTGTCAACTAAAAATTTTGACCGTCATAGGTAGCTAAACATTATTTTCAATTGAAAAAAAAAAATTATAAAGCGTAATACTATAATCCTATGCTTAAAATATATTTTCTTGTGGCCGCCTGACAGCAACCTGTAAATCTGGCGCGACAGTGAACGTGTTAATAAGTAAATGTTGTTCAAATTATATCGTGTTTGATATCATTTTCATCAGAAAAATCTCACCAACATGTTAAAAGAAATTCCAGATGAAAAAAAGTAAAATTAAAGAAATTATATTTTTCTATTATGATTTGTCGAGCCGTGAAATCTCGTAATGGACAAGGACTGCGAGCGAGATAACATGGGCGCAGCAATGACGCAACCTAGGCGTAGGATCATCTATACTATCACTTGTAGAATCCAAAGTTACTGTCTCTTGTAGAGAATTTATTGTATACTGTTCGAGCCTTTCGGTGCACTTCCACCTTAATTTTTATACTTAATTTCATCCTTTACGCGCTTTCACTTTAATTTAATATACCGAATTTCAACCGTCAATCACCCACGTTACGGGTTAAAATCTGCTGTAGCGAAAGGGTTAACTCCATGGAGGTTCAATCATGCATCCAGTTTTATCTACTCTCGATTCTTCAATTTTAACTGAAATGAAAATCAAGGAAGGGTAAAAGAATGTCCATAAAATTTTAAACTTTAGTGTTTTTCATCGAATAATTCGTGTAGACTGTCAGCAATCTATTTTTGTGTCAGAAAGTAATTATATTTAAAGATTGTGAATCTTTTATTATTCATTTTAATTGAAATTGAATCTTTCAACAGCTCAGGTTGCCTCAGGTCAATTTTAATTGTTTCGATAATATGCGCGATGATTGTGAAACAGATTATAATAGTTTGTTTATTCATCTCGTGATGCTTCTGTCATCGACGCTCATGCAACGGCTAGGATATCATAAAAGAATTAATTATCATCGCACGCACATTGCCTCTTCTTCTTCTCCGTTTAAGGAGGTCGCGTGGAATGTAACAGTCCATTTATTTTATACATCAACCGCAGTACTTCCTACGATGTTTGTATGCACAGGAGGCACTAGGCTTCTTTGCACTTTATTTTTACCCAAATTGTTCTGCCCCACGTGACATCAGCTGATTAGCAACACTTCTAACTGATGTATTTATAATTAGTACATCGGTATAGAAACAAAGCTGCTCGTCTATATATACCACTGTGCTATTCTTTTGTTTACTTTCTTATCTTCAAATCATTCGACCGATAGGAACGATCTCACGAATTTCATATTTATCTCGTCGCAATCATTCCTTTCCTAAGATAAAAATTCCACTTATCGTGAATACTATTTATTATTTATCCTACAATAAATCAAACTATAATCTGCATTTCTGACATGAAAGACGACGACTTCTTAACATAATGGACATATTTCGGTTCGCAACATCGATGTAGCATTGTCTGAAGACGAGCATCGGACAAAAGCAGAATTCCACAGATTCTACGTCAAATAGAATTTTTCTACTATAACTGGTTTGAATAATTTTGCTATAGTCGCTCCTAGACTTCCATAATTTTGCTGTCGTCACCCCTAGAGTTCCAGAATTTTGCTATAGTCGTTTCTAGAGTTCCAGAATTTTGGTATCGTCACTCATAGAGTTTCATAATTTTGCTATCGTCACTCCTAGAGTTCAAGAATTTTGCTATCGTCGCTCCTAGAGTTCCAAAATTTTGGTATCGTCGCTCCTAGAGTTCCAGAATTTTTCTATCGTAACTCCTAGAGTTCCAGAATTTTGCTGTCGTCACTCTTAGAGTTCCAGAATTTTCGCAAGAAATGAATATTCGCGATTGTTAATCGTGTCCAAGTGAACGCGATTTTTCCACCGTTTCATTTAACGCAGTTTACTCCCGTTGTAATTGCCATATCGCAATTATTTCAGCCGTTCACGCTGCAAACGTGACATCCAATGGAAATAAACCGTAAATTACGAAACGTCGACCTTGCGGAACAGATCTCGAGGGATCGTTATGCATTCGCGCGATCTGGAGGAGCTATTCCTTCGCAGATGTTGAGAGAGACACGCGTTAGTCTGGCTTTATTAATAGCTTGGCTGCATGCAGCGCGATCAACTGTCTCTGCTCGCCATTCCTGCGAGTGTTAGGTACAACGAGTGTTTGTTTAGTGACAGTGCAGACTCGTCTTAGGCAACCACGTGGCTTGTCAGAGTGAAAATGTGGACGATCACGGTGTTTGCACGTCTACGAATCTCATTCGTGGCGATAAAACGACGAAACTCTTGGAACAGATAAGAACTAGAAATCGCCCAAGTAGACTCTGTCGCTTAGATCAACCGTTACGTTTTTATCTATTACATTTTGCATAGGTAATTCTATGAGTCATTAGATTGACGTACCACGGAACTGGATTTGCATCTCAATATATCTAATTGAAGACAAATCCGCCTTTGAAACTGTCTTACAGGGAGATACAGGCTGTACGAAATCAATTGACCGCTCAAGGACTCCTCCCTCGCCGCTTTCTTTTAGAAGAGAGCTATACCTTGTCCTCTTACTTTCTTTCACATTCCATGCTGCGTTCGCATTTCTATTTTGGCAAGAAAAGGAAGTTGCAGTATCGTAAATAACTGGAAATTTATTTTCGTACGTCTCAGAAACAATTTTTATTTAAAAAAAGAATTCGTCGTTAAATAGTCAATTATTATTTATCCGAACTTTCTGGGAGACTGTAAACATTGAGGATTTACTTTTCAATAATTTCGCGTAGCCAATTGATTTCCTTCAGACTACAATACAAGGGAATAAAAACGCCGAAGATTAGCTTAGTTCCAGCAACATTGAATGGCCAATTAATTTTTACTCAATTTATAATACGCTGTATAAATGTTGAAAATAATCCTCCACGCAATATACCATCCGGTTAGTAGCACAGACAGCAGGTTAATCGTTCCACACGTGAGAAACAACGAAAGTTAGAATGTCCAGCTGATCAGACAGTGTATCCGTTTCTCTGAACAGGTGCCTCTCTCTACCTTTTCTCGTGCTCCGACTCCTCTTGCTGCTCCTTCTCCTTCGCCTCTTTCTCCTCGACGATCTTCTGATAGAAACCTTTCCACATCGCCTCCTCGTCCATTCTGACAGCTAGGTTGTTTGCTTCACGGTCAGGTGTGGTACTCGAAACGATCCTCCTTGGACGATGCACGAGGCTTGCTCTCGGTTAGGGAAAACGTCACTTTTCTGGTTGGTCACGAGCTACGGTTCGCTCATTGTTAAAATCACGCGACGTACGATGAGTGTTGCCCGAAATTCCAGCGAATGGCCGACATTAACGCCGGTAGGTCAGCTCGGATCAGCCAGTACTGTCGTCGCCAACAACACGCCTAAACACCATCCACTCACCGTTGCTTCCTTTCCAGCCGTTAGATGGCGACTCTTCACAGACCATGCATCGATAACCTTCTCGTCTACTTTCTCCCATTTTTCGATTATTTCGGATATTTTCGATTTCGTTCGATTGTAGAAGAGACGAGGAAAATATTGATGGATGTTACGGGGGAATTACGATGATTTTTGTATTTTTCTTAAATTTGAGGATCGTTAAGTTTGGTACCAGGCTGACTCCGATGCTCTTTGATGGCGCCATGATTCTTGAATAGCATCCGTGAGTCAACGTTCGTGCATCTTGTCATCAAGATGACATCATGCTGCTTGTACCGGAGAAACAGTTGCCAAAGAATAATTCGGGAAGCTGAGATGATTTTAGCTAATCCGTCTGGTGTCGTTGGCACCTCGATGAGTCTGTTCCATCGGCGGAAGTCGATGATCCCTCGTCGAGTAATGCCAATTTTCGTTTCTGGGTGTTGGGTAATTATTATTAACTTTCTTGGTTTCAAATTCTTTTGGGCGCGAAATCCATTTGAATGAAAATGATTTTCATTAAAATTCCTTCGTATTTCCTTCACAAATATTATATTGTATTGAGTGTTACATTTGAAAAATAGAATTAGTTTATTTCTTTTTCAACAATTTAAATCTCTCTACAGGTCTCACTATAAGAATAGCCAATTTTAGTCTCACCACTATAATAGAAGATTATCTACGTTAAATTTTCACAGATAGTTCTTTCCCTTTGTGTATGTTTAATTAAAATGTATTGCTAAACGATGTATAAGAAAATAGAAGAAATTACAAAGAAACCATTGAGGTTCTTATTTACCGAATCCTCGATTTTCGGTATTTAAAATTTCCAGTTTTTCTATCTTTGCTCCGATTTTCCATGTCCCAATATTTCATTCGAAATTTACGAGAATAGTTAACGACAAACCTTCACGTTACTTAATGTGACAGAACAGTGCAGTATTTCATACAGTGTTATCGAAAATAGCTGTTACACTGTGTCAAGGGAATAATGTATATATACTAGAGTGTAGTGCAGTGAAGAAAGGAACTTTGTTGCAGAGGAGCACGTTGTTTTCAACATGTGCACAGTTTTTAAACTAGTTACATTCCTTCTGTTCTTAGGTAAGTACAAAAAAGGGGTATGTATTTTCTGCAACCAATTTATCAATTCTTTTTCCGTTACCTTTGTACAGGTATAGTTTTATGTTTATCGACAGCTAAACATGTCGATAAAAGTCATTCCACCGTTCTACGTGAAAATGTACGAGAAAATTCCGATACATTTATATTATTGAATCCCAAACAAGTGCACAGTTTAGAAAGAACTGTCCGACGTTTCTTCTCGAAAATGGCTGAACCGATAGAGAAACCAATTGTATTGAGATCTAGATCGCCTAACGCGAACGATTTGCAATTGACAATTAGGGTAATATGCGACAGCGTGAGAAAGAGACTCGTGCAATTTGTCGAAGATTGTGGATTAATTCGTTCTGTGAAAGTGTACGAAGAAGGTTTGAGCAATGTTCCGCTGTCTGAAGATTGGTACTCTGAAATATTATTGCAAAGTGCATATTTGATACGCGATTTGGGAAATATATTCAACGAAATTGGCTGGTCGATCGATACATACTTTGGCGAAGGGAATGCAACGTCGAGGAGAAGCAAGGTTAGTAAAAGGGAGAATTATAGGTAAAAATTTCCTTTGTCACTGTATTGGGATCGATAAAAATTCGAATAACTCTCGGCAAAATTAATTATCGAGGGAAAGTAATGTTCAAAAAATAGTAGGATTGATAAAAAATTGGAATAATTAGGCAGTTCTGCATTTAAACATTTCCTTCCATTTTCATTTTTGTTTCTTAAAATGTCCCACTTTCTTTCACGAAACTTCGTAAATCCTTTTCACTCCAAATCAAACGTCATGAATGAAATTTCAAATATTTGAAAAATTATTTAGCGAATTAATGTCGATATCAATTTCAACGATAACTTGGAAAATCAAACATCAACATAATTACAGGAATTAGCAAATCAAGCCGACAGTTTCAAATTTCTCGGCGTCGTGCACGACGCAGCAGAGTTCAGTGAAAAACTAGCTCAATGCCTGCTTAAAATGGCGAACACGAGGAACCGTAAATCGTCTTTCGACCTGAATCGAGCAATTCTAAATTTAACCAATCATCCGCCAAAAATCGTGTTGAAAAATTTCAAATCCAGCATAAACAGCGTTTCGTACAATCACGCGCGGAAGAATCGCTCGAGACAGAAACCCTGGCACGTTTTTCTTTGTCTGTCGATGATAAAGAACGGGGGGATTAATTATGATGATTGTATTCGCGAGTTGCTACATCTCGACGTGTGCTTAAGTAGCATACAGCAACGATCGATTAATACAAGGAATAATATCGACGTGAAATCGTGGACGAAAGCGATTCAACGTCTGAGTGACTGCAAGATTCAGTCAGATAAGCACGGAGAGGCGATGGTCTCTTGCAAAACTGCTCGAAGAATGCCCAGAGAGATTAAACAGAAGATGAAGTACGTATTCGAGAGGATGTTGGATAGGCAAATATCGAGAACGTCTCCTTTTCATCGAGCTGCAGATGATCTTGGCGACACTTTGTCGAAAACTGAGTGGGGACAGAGATTCGTCGACGAATTGTGCCAGTATGTTGGTATCTACGAGGATGGTCAGAGAAAATTGCAGAGATTCTCGAAAGATAAGAGGACTGCAGTGAGGTTGGTATGAAAAATTTGTTCACATAGCAAGGTTTAAATAAAGTTAAGTAGATTTG